TAATATGAAGATGAGAGTTTAAGGTAGGGCGCCTTCAAATTAGACGCTTAGCATCTAATTAAATCAGTAAAATGTAAATAAGCTAAATGAAAATTATATGTTTAGTAGTGTGTAGTAACTATTAAACAATCTGTGGTAGTGGCACTGCTGCAGCAGCGCACAGTGTTTTTTGACCCGAAAAACGGACGTGCTTTTTATTCGCCTATTCGTTAGAAAAAGTCATCCTGAAACCAAGAGTAGAAGTCCCGTGTGTCAACTTTGTATTATATTATTATGTACATTAACGAAGATATAATTTTTTAAATTATTTTCTATGCTATCCATAAAAATCATAGAAATCGTTGTATCTTTAAATACACTCACTTTTTATTCAGTTTCTATTTGTATAACACCTTAAATGAGGCACATTATAATCAAAACGACTCATCCGAAGAACAAAGTCCGATGTGATTATAGCGAGAAGAGAATAAGTACCTACGTTACGAGAATAATTTCCTTATTCAAACTAAGGCTTATGTAAAGGTGTTTTGAAAATTTATATATCTTATTTCTTTCGAAAATATAAAATCGAACAATGGTCGATCTGACATGCACAGCGAAGATGAACGGACGAAGTGTACTATGTCCTGACAACAAGTAGTTTTGCACATAGATCTTTGTTCTACGGATGAGTCGAAAACACGAACAGTTTATCGGTATTTAACACGAAGTTACAAGCAATTTAATATATTTTTATTATTTTTATTTCACGAATTTATTTCAAAGTATTGGGATTCAGATTTAGGTTAAGAACACTTCCTGAAAAAATTTAGTACAAATCTTACACGATTCAGAAATAACGGGTTTCCAAAGTTTGTGTGTTAGGGTTGTCACCTGACGTAATTTTCAACATACGTTTTGCTATAATATAATAATAATAACGCACACACTCGACATAGCCCCGCACTAGGGAAACCCTGTGTCGCGGATGCCATGGACACACACATAGACCACCACAAATTACACCCAAACTCACGAGAGAAATAAATGAAGGCCATACAAATATTTCTCCCGGCCCGGGAATCGAACCTGGGACCTCTGCTATTAAGCAATTCCTTGGAATAAATATTCGTATTGTCAGTTAATTAGTAGTAACTCACAAACATCGAATGTTAGTTGGACTTGTAAGTATTTGTTATACCTGCAAAGATAATAAAATAACGATGTACTTCGTTTTCTAAAACCAGTTTTTGGTACGATTCTGAAGATTTAAATGAGGAAGACGTGAATGTGAAATGGGATGCTTTTTTTAATTTAGTTATTTTTCAAAAATTTATACTTTTTACAAAAATCTATCTCCCGACAAACTGGAAACTGTTGGCGAGCACGCTCTTACACAATTATAGTTCTACTTAATGATTAACTAAGTACCTAGCAGTGAGAAGGTACTTCTCATGTAGATCAAACTTACCTATTTAACAAAATAACAATAACAATACAAATGCAAGTTCCTCCTTACAGCAACAAAATATTTATTTTTTAACTATTTATCTTTTCTTTAGTTACATGTCGGCATTCCATAGTATAGAAACAACCACCAGTAATAAAATTGTGAAAAAAAAATTAGTTTAAAAACAATTTAAACTTTAGGACACACGGAGGAAAACAAACTATCGTAACAAAGTTAACAAAATACTATCGCATCAGTCGTTCCTTTGTTTTAAATTTGAATTTAGAACACAGAAAAAATGTACCAGGAACAAATTGCGTTTAAATCTTTTTCATATAATCAGTACTTACCCGCTCATTGACTTACAATTATATGGACGTCGGGTCCGCGCTAAAAAGCGTCCGAACTTATAGGGCGTTAAAATCGTATACAGAGCGTCATTCACGCTTTAGTCTTCGTTTGTTCGACTGACAGCGAAGCAAGCAAAATTAGACAGTACTGGGATGACATTACAATTTAAATTCAACGTTTTAGCTTTTTCATATTCCTTTACATGTCACTACGTTTAAATAGGTTGACTTGGGACATTTTTTTCGTGGTTTTTGTATTAGACCCGTCGTCCATTTATTTGTATGTCAATGCTTACCCTAGACAGTGTTGATGTGTGTACTAGAAAGTTGGATTAATGACAGTTGTGAAGATTTGCCCACGGAAAATGAAATTTAGGTCCGGTTAATTTAAAAGCAATATGACGGACCTTTAGGACGCGCCGCGACTAAAATCAAGCCGCTTGCTTTTACACATTATCTATTCGAATATGGTATTATTTGTTAATCCAAGATGGCGGACACGACTTTCTCAATTAAGATTAACAAGGTTATCGTCTTCGGTGTTTTAGTGGGTAGACATTACAACATACAAATGGCATTTACAGTGGGCGCAGTGGCAGTGCCCCTTAAATCTTTGCGACTTAAAACTTTGAAAGGCACTGCAACTGTTATGGACAACATGTCACTTACCACCAGGCGCCCGACTTGTTCGTCTCGTCACATAAAAAAAATTCTAAATCCTAAATGGCAGGCCGGACTTTCAAATGAAATCAATAATTACAGGTATCGTTTTCGAGGTATTTGGGGGTGCACATTACTAATATAGCACTTATTTCTACATCCAAGATGGCGGACACGATTTTAAAAAAAAATGCACTATGGGTATCCTTTTCGAGGTATTTGGGGATGCTCAATACGAATATGGCACTTATTTCCAAATCCAAGATGGCGAGCATGACTTTTCAAATAATGGCAAGTTGGGTATCGTTTCCGAGGTATTTGCGGGTGCTCATTACAAATATGGCACTTATGTCTAAATTCAAAATGGCGAGAACGACTTTTCAAATAATGGCAAGTTGGGTATCGTTTTCGAGGTATTTCGGGGTGCTCATTACGAATATTGTACTTATTTCTAAATCCAAGATGGCGGGCATGATTTTTCAAATAATGGCAAGTTGGGTATCGTTTTCGAGGTACTTGGGGATGCTCATTAGGAATTTAGCATTTATTTCTAAATCCAAGATGATTGATACGACTATTCAAATAAAACCAATATGAGTATCATTTTCATTGGCATTTAATTAGCTATTTTGTTTAGGTATTGTATCAAGTCAATAAAGGATTGAATCAATAATTCATAATCATCAACCCCGATAACAGCTAAAACGATACCCGATATTGCTTTTATTTGAACAGTCGTGTCCGCCATCTTGGGCTTTTTCTAAGCTTTTATTTCTTAAATGCTATATTCGTGGTGAACACCCCCCAAATTCCTCGAAAACTATACCCAACTTGTCATTATTTGGTAAGCCGTGCTCGCCATCTTGGATTTAGAAATAAGTACAATATTCGTAATGAAATACCTCGAAAACGATACCCAACTTGCCATTATTTGAAAAGTCGTTCTCGCCATCTTGAATTTAGACATAAGTGCCATATTCGTAATGAGCACCCCCAAATACCTCGGAAACGATACCCAACTTGCCATTATTTGAAAAGTCATGCTCGCCATCTTGGATTTAGAAATAAGTGCCATATTCGTATTGAGCATCCCCAAATACCTCGAAAAGGCTACCCATAGTGCATTTTTTTGAAAAATCGTAGTCAACAGTTAATTTTGGCCAAAAAACGAAACTGAATCCATTATACAAAAGTACGTTCGTTCAATGTTCATGGCGTCACAAAGGATCACAAATATATTGCACCAAATAAAAGCCGCAATGTATTACAAATCATGAGGCATAAACTCGGTTGCATATTTATTTTCTCGAAATTCATACAACATCAAAATAATTGTATTTTGCGTTTTCGATTGATGTTTATCTGAGATATCGGTCGAGCGCGTTCTGAAGTGTAGCAACAGCAACTAAGTGTATTTCACTTACATTGGGCAGGCGAAGTACGTACACTTGCGGCGTCTATCTAGATATATATCTGTGGATTGCCCCCTCCTGTCCCCGTTAAAAAAATATACTACATGTATATATGAAAAATAAGATGTATACAATATATTACATACCATTTTTAAGTCTCAAAATTCTAACAGATTTTTATTTAAATTCACGTAAGCCTACATTAAAAATGCATTTTTAAAATAAATTTATGAGAAATCATAATCAATAAAAAAAGTGATGATTGACAACCCTAAAATCAAAATTATCAGAAAAAACTTTAGAAGTGCATAACTCCCATATCCTGAGAGATTGGGTTCTGGTCTTTTTGTAGTCATTAGTATGGTTGTTATTAGTAATTAGAAAAATTTCCATATACCTAGAATAAAGTTATAAAAAAATAAAAAACCAAAAACACGGAAAACACTATTTTCTTGATTCATTTATTAGAAATATTTATTTGTAGTTATTGTCAAATTTAGAAAAAACAAAAAATATTTAAAAAGATATCTTCATTAATGTACAAAATTGACACACGGGAGTTCTACTCATGGTTTCAGGATCACTTTCTCTACCGAATAGACGATTAAAAAGGCATGTCTGTTTTTCAGGTCAAAAAACATACTGTGCAGCGCCACAGACGCTCCACTGCAGCGCTTCTACAAGTGTCTAATTTTTTATTTATTTGCAGGCGCCCTTATGCCAGCGTGTTATGGTAGGTATTTACATGAACTTTAATTGATATCATTTATTACTTATATGACTATAATGACGCCACCTTTTCAGGATCAAAAATTATTAGTATTTTGTATGGAAAGTATAGGCTTCCCAGATTAGTATTGCTTAATTGTGTTGGCCTACCTCACGATTACCTCGAGGGTTCGAGACAAAAATGTCAAGATTCTCACATAGAGAAACCATTTTTGCTCATGTTTACATTGTTTGTGCTACTTTTTGAAATTGTCACTGGTATTTCTATTCTCTTTGACTCTTATTTAGAAATGATTAAAACATCAAACATTTATTATTGAAAATTTATTTACAACATATAATTTTAAAAATTTAATTAAATTTAATTACAAGTTTTTTGTTTCTGTCGCAAAATTTTTAGGCAACATCAAAATTTCAGTGAATTCCTAGTTTTTTACCATGGTTAGTACTGAATCCCAATAACCGATTCACATTTTTTGCAATCGCTTAGTATTAAGATACAAATATTTTCTACTCAAAAATCATCTTACCTAATACAAAATTTACTTCTTTAGGATCATGATAATGATAATTCTACATATCAATTAAACTATAAGGACATCAAGCAAGCCGCGGAGGCAATAGAAAACGGTGTTATACACACGCCGCTCTGCGTAAGGTTTACTTTGTATAAAAAATTAGTAGTAAAGTCAAAAGCTCAAAAACATATCATGCTTGAGCGTCATAAAGTTGAATTTAAATAAAGTTAAACTTGACGTGCTCTTGAACTTGTACTTGTTATACAATATACAGGGCTAATTCTAAAATACTAATAACCTGGCAGTGCTTTAAAACATACATATATTACTTACATCAGAAACCACACCTTTTGTTCCATGACTTTTAACAAAACATGATATATTTACCAAAAATAAACTTTTAAATTTATGTTGACACTTGTTAGATCTGAATTTAGTAAGTTCAAACGTGTAAGCGTCCCCCACACACGCTACAGCGTTTTGCTACACGCTACAGAGTTATCATCGTTTAGAGCAATTTATTTGAATATTTTTATTTTTGTAAAAAAAATCTTGGAATAAAAGTTGTTGTTTATGATCTTAGTGGTATAGCGAGGTACTGCGAGGTTGTTTGTATCTTATAAAGAAAATTGTATACATTTGAAATTTTAGGAATCGAAACTCAGCAAGTTCATGGACTATAATATTTATTTAAAATGTGAGAACTTGCAGTACACAGGCAGGTAAGTGCAACGGTATTCGGAAGTACTCGTAGTTATGCGTTTTTATGAAAAGCTACTTATATTTTGCCTTGATTCAGTTGTGCGGAACGTGGTATACGAAACTTGTTTGTAACAACTCCAAACGATGTCTTTGAATGCGGTGTAATCGTGCCTTCTAGCGGCAATATGGCGATAAGTGCTGCTTACCATGGCGGGTTGTTGGGGGTGCCGGTAAACGCCTTTGTATTACTAAGCGCAAATAATAGCAAATACAACAATGTTTATGATGATCCTAATTCGGGTCACAACTAACTAAGTAAAGCTAATTGTGGTCAATGATTAGGTCATCAATAAAGTATCCTGTAGAGAAGCCCTATTTCGATTTATTAATCATATTATCTATTACGTAGAGATTTATTCAGTATACTTTCTGACTAGTTATTTTCAGTAGGAAGGTAATTTCTGCACTCCTTGTCATAACTAAATGCATTTCGGTAAACACTTTACTCGTCAAAATGTCAATACGCTGATTTTGCTTAGCAACATAACTGTAACTAAACAAGAAAGATATAAAAAAACTGATTACAGGGGTTGTAGATCGCGTTTCGCGGTCGGAAAAAGGTGTTCTACATATATAGATATAGCTACAAGAAGCAACATAGAGTTGTTAAAACCACCAAATATTTACCAATTACTGCGTCGTAAGATAGGAGTTTTCACCTAGGAAGTCTAAATTCTAATGGCGCCATGTAAGAAATGCAGTGGATAACCGACCTTTTACCGAAACAGAGAATAAATAAGTAACGTAAATGGTCTCTCTCCGCCCCGCCCCTCCTTAGCTTTAGATACCGCATCGAGCCCCGCATATTGACGGAAAGGCGGAAATATGCTAGTAGAACTTAAGAAAAAAAATTATTAACAATTTATTTACGAGGGGAGTTTTAGGCATTTTAGTTGGCATGATAGTCGTTGTGATCGCGCCCTAAAAATATTTTATTTAATACAAGATCTTGTAGCTATACAAGGAGCGACAGAGTTGTTAAAAAAATGTTAATCGATTACTTCTTTCGAATTCTGGATTTTCGGAAAGGAACATCTCTCTTTATTCTACTTATGAAAATAAATCGCCGTACATGGGTAAGGCCGTTAAAAATGGCACTCTTTAGTCGTGTTTAAAAGTAAAACAGCTTTTTTTAATGTATAAATATAATCTAGTGTGAACATTTAAAATACGACATTTCTGCTGGTAGTTCGAATTTATGGACTGTTATGCCGTGTTTTTGCATTATAACTATCTATATACGTGTATTTTTTTCGACCTTTTTCCGACCATTGCTGATCACAGATATGTCAATAACACATTTCGCTAAGAAAGTCGATAAGTTTATTACGAAAAGGAGGACAGATTTGGTCCCGTTTTATCATACTGCCCTCGGAACGAAAAAAGGCACAACGGCTGTGTAAAGTAGGGGAGAGGAGGGTGAACGTTCCGATTTTCAAATAACTTGCAGTTTTATACTGAAAATGAAGGATTTGATTTTCAACATGTGGAAATGTTGAACAAATGTTTATCGCTTTTTGTAATAGTAAAGTCACTTCTACTAATATCTCAATAGTCTTTTTCATAGAGGCAAATTTTTGACAAATTTCGGAGCGGAACATTCAGGCCCGCATTGGGGCGCGTTGTTCCGCCTTTGAGACAAATTGTTCCGCCTAGATTATGACAGAATAACAAAGATTTTCTTAAATAAAATCACCTATTTTATAATTGTACGTATGTAATGTTTATATTATGGACACCAAACTTAAAAAAAAAATAACCACATTCTTATTCATCAGTACCTAATATTATTCATCGCTCATTTCTTCATCTGAAACACAGTTGAGACACACATAAGTAACTCTATCATCTTGTCTAAATATTTCACATGAGCCTGTTTTTAGTTTGGCATCCTTAAAACAAAGAAAAATGGTCATAAAAATTTTAAGTATGATTGCAGGTCCATTGGGGAAAGTTGTTCCTAGGAACAACCAGCCCCTCGAGAGAGGAAGTTATAGCCCTTATATATTTATACTTTACTTACTTTATTATACTTATAGCAAATTACGTTTTTATACCAAGACTGACATACCGGCAAAGTAACAGAATCAATAAAAAAATTACTCAAATAATAAGATTCCTTATAATATCAGTACAATTTAGAAAAGTTACGTGTGAATCGGCCCATAATAAACAAAGATAGTCCAAAAAATTTAAACAAGAAAAGATTTACTTATGTGCATTGACTTACACTTATGTGTATGTATTTTGACAGCTCCACGCACATAGCCACACGTCATCGCCGGAGTTACTGAAATGGCTGCCGGCAAGACGCTTCACCTGACGCTTTAACGACGCGCTTCACATGTATTGCTACATATTTTACTTGTAAAGTTATTGCCGTGAGAACACCTTACCCCGGGAACTACCAGTCTCCCTACGCATAGTTGTGCCTTTTTTCGTTACGAGGGCAGCATACATCTAACCATTAGGTTCAACGTGAGGTAGCAATGCAAAATGCACATAGCACACACACAAAACTATATACAAACTTCCATAATAAATTGATCGATGCTTTTCAGCGTTAACCTCGGTTAACAAAGTTTCCCAAAGTGAATATAAAAAATACGTGTTTTCAATTGTTTTTCGTTGTGGGCGTTGAAATTTTTTTGTCACGCCTATGAGGGCGGTGAGCCGGTGAGAAAAGTTTGGGAACCTATGATCTATAAGGTAGCAATTTACATAGGCACCTACCTACTCTGTAATCGATATACCTACCCAACTATTATAGGTAGTAAATTCAAACTTACTTTCGGTTTTAAATTCTTTAGGTGGAATGCTTTACGCATTTAGGTCTCTGAATTTGCTGTCTTTTACTCCAGGTAACAGTAGTTCTCCCCGAACGCACACCCCCTGCATACGCGCAGCATTGCTCGGAGTTCGGCGCCGACGTTGTGTTGTACGGTAACTCGTATGAGGACGCTTACGCTTACGCCAAGAAAGTGCACTTTGGTAGCAAGCAGATACTAATTAAGTACACCTTTGTCTTACTTATTACAATTTTGGGACTATTATCTTATCCACGGTAGCTACGGTGAGGCATTAGACAATGGTTCGAGTCCAGTCGGATCGACGAAATTTGTATTTCCGTTTGTTCGATCTGTGTATTAATAATAATAATAATACCATTTACTTACTAATATTTATATATACGATAACAGTTTATCGTATACAAAGTGTAACCAATTCTGTACATGACGTCTTTTATTATGGACTATTGCAAGTACTTAGTTATATGCCTGTTTTACCCGGATTAGATGAGTACGAAGCCATTGGTGCGAACTATAGAAGATAAATAAATAGGTCGGGACTCGGTTAGATCAGGGTGATGCGTTATCTAAGTCTACTGGACATAAATCGGCGAGACATAACATTGCCATACTTTGTAGTTCCGACAACCCATTGGTGATGGCGGGCATGGGTACAGTGGGCTTGGAGATAATAACGCAGCTTCCCGAAGCTGACGCTGTGATCGTGCCAGTAGCCGGGGGTGGCTTGCTGGCGGGAGTGCTCATAGCCTGCAAAAAACTTAAGTGCTCGACTCTTGTTTATGTAAGCATCTACATTCAATTTTTAGTAGCTATACCTAACAAAATTTTCTTGTAAGTACGCGCTATATAAGTTACATCAGAAATTTACTGTACTTACGTTTGAAGAAAGCTATTTTGCTGGTGGATAGGATTTAAGAACTTCGGCGAAATCAGTTGCATTAAGTGGAGTTCGGTTCTTATACGGAGTTGTTTAGCCATATAATAGAATATCAAACACTGCTTACAACCTTGGACTCTTAAAAGAAAATACTAACTGCTGGTGTACTTCTAAAAACGAACAATAGCGCGTCAATACCATAGTTTTAAAACCGAAGGGTCTACAACGGTGAATACAGCAGCTTAAACCGGTAAAACGGTGATAGTAAACTCTGAAGGTAACTGAGACGCCATTACAGATTATATAAAAACCAATTTTTTTATTATTAATAAACATTTTTTAATATCTTAAAAATGTGTAAAAACAAAATTCACTTCAGTCTTTCTCACTCATAACCTCGTTAGTGTACCTGTCAACGTCACAGTTACAGCTCACTAATGAGTACCCGGCTTTAAAAGTTTAAATACTTTGTAACAGGGTGTGGAGTGCGCTAAAATGCCCAAAATGATGAAAGCGCTGCAAGCAGGAAGGCCTGTCTCTGTGCCGGTGGTGCATAACCTGGCAGAGGGGCTCAGTGTGTCGATAATCGGAAACAATGCTTTTAATAATATCAAAGGCAGATTGGATCGAATGGTATGACGCCAGTCAAGTGCTTTAATTTAATAATACACTCTGCCATAGCCATAGTTATAAGCTATAGGTACAAAGTGTCAACTTATCAAATTGTTAATTTGATTGCTTTGACCTTCTCTCTAGAAATTAGAATCACTAACTCCCCCTTGAACTCCTGTTGTCAAACATTAGGCGAAAACAAAGGACACAATTCTGTTTGCTATGACACTGATAAAAAATGTGGACATAATAAATGTTGTTTATGTAATATAAACGTTGTGCTTGGTGCAATACACGCGTTAGTAATGTAAAGTAAAAGATAGAAGTAGAACTGATCAAAAACAACTCTGCCCTCGTAACGAAAAAAGGCACAACTATGCGTACTTTGTAGGATAGTTGTGCCCTTTTTCGTTCCGAGGGCAGAACTACTTTGTTATATTTTGATCGTTACAGTTAGTAGTAGAAGAGTCATACGTAGCAAAGGCGATCATAAGCATGCTCGAGAGCGAGCGGCTGGTTGCAGATGGCGCTGGAGTCTGCGCAATCGCAGCTGTGATGCAAGGTCTTGTGCCAGAATTGAAGGGAAAACGGTAAATTCGAGTAACTTACCGTCAATTAGGTAGAACGCTACAAATTCCAGGGCACCTCTGAATTTTTCGGAATTTATGTGCGGAATTTGAAATCGTAATGAAACCTTGTACGTTGAAGAAGGTTCACAACCCTCGGAAAACGTGTGAAGTCTCCATCCAAGCCGCATTGGGACGTGAAACCCTCGCGTGAGCATAAACCCGTGCCCAGCAGTGGGATGTATAAATGGGTTGATGATGATGATGACTAAAATCAGGAGATATGCAGAAGCGGTCTCTTGGTGGACTGTCTTTAATGACCGTCGCTTTATTTCATCTAACTAAACGACTATCTGTAACAAACGGATACAAAAGTAGACAAGGAGAGTGGAGATGGGTGATGAAAATCACGTAACAGGAGTGAGTGTAATTTTGTATTTGTTTACAGTACAGTCTGCATCGTAAGTGGCGGAAACATCGAGTCTGGCCGCTTAGCGCGCACGATACACAGGGGCCTTGGAGCGATGGGTCGTCTGTTGAGATTCTCAGTGCCCGTACATGATCATCGTTCAGGGCTTGAGGAGTTGGCGAAACTTATTTCTGAAGAGAATGGCGTGGTCAAGAATTTAATCACTGATCATACGTGGCTGCATGGCGACGTTGGGGCTACTTGGGTGAGTGAAGTGAAGGCATTGTACACGTTTTATTAGGGTGTCATAAACTATGAATAGGCAGGTGACAGGAATAGCCGAGCATAGGGTGCGCGAGAAGTCAAAGTCAAAGTCAAAGATTATTTATTCCATGGGTAAAATAAATTACTACTGAAGAGCTCCAGGACCCTATCAGCGGAGCAGCCTGACAAAGACTCACTCATCAGGCTTGCCTGGGCGGGAGATAAGATCCTGATAGAGGCCGCCAAAAGTAAAAACCTGAAGGAGACCATCTGGAGCGAGATCAAGAAAGCCTCCGATAACATCACGATGGCCATGGACTCCCTCCAGGCAACCTCTGCGGACGAGGAAACCCGCCGCCTCATGGCAGATAACAAGCGGATGAAGAGGGAGCTAGCTGCACTGAGAGCTGAGGTGGCGGCTCTCCGAACGGCCTTTTCGGAGAGGATAAAGCCCCGCAGGATCTGTGTCTCGTGCCGACCCTCTGCCATTCCACAGGATCTGGAGGAAATAGTCGAGGACCTAAAGAGGAACCTCCTAGTCTCCCTGGGTGAAATGATAAACGTTCGCCTAGGTGAGATAGAGAAACGCCTCCCACCGGAGCCAATCTTGAGGCCGCCTCTGGCGGTCGATAGAAGGAGAGAGGCGGCAAACAGCTCAACCCCCAGGCCAAGCGCAGATTTCCTGCCTCAGGCGCAGCGCCCTATGGCCAAGACTCGCTCAGCCGCCATTGCGGCCGCCGCTACTGCCGTCGCCCCCAGGATGCCTCCCACCGCAGCGGCCCTCGAGCTCACCTCAGGCCCTCCCCGGTGCGAAGCGCGCCTGCCGGCCCGCGGCCCAAGAAGGCCAAGAAGAAGGCCCCCCCGCGGAAGGCTGCTACCGCCCCTTCTGGGGCGGCCCCGCCGCCTCCGCCGCTCCGCGTGGCGGCTACCGGCCGTCTGTTGGTGGGGTGGTCCTCCGCTGGGGTCCATGTCGGGCGTGGTTGCCGCCATGCTCCGTAGCGAGGAGTCCTGGGAGGCGGTGGCCTCCTTTTGCGGAGAGGTTATGTCGCAAAAGGTCGCGGAGCGGGTGCGCGAGTACGCGGCAGACGCGCACCCGCTTCGGCGTAGACGTACGGGGAAAAGGCGAAGGCAGTTCGCTTCTTGCCTGATCCCCTAGTGAGGCCAGCGGGCTCTGGATAGAGACTCCGGAGCCTGCATTGCACGGCCTCGCTCGTCTGGGGGTCGGGTCGGAGGGACAACTGACCTGCCCCTCTGTTGGCGCGGGAGCCCTGGCGCAAACCAGGGCGGCCGGGCGGGGCGTCGTGGTGAACGTGCACCGGCCCCACGGCGCCGACTCAACCGACGGGAGGTAAACCCGGGGGGGTTTTAATGGGGTAGGCCCTCCAGTCTGGAGGGAGAGTCCCAACAGAACCCCTGAGTCTCCCTGGGCTCAGGGGTATCTATAAAAATTTCCCCCGTAAAAAAAAGGTGACAGGAATAAAATTGGTGTCTGATGAGTGTTGTCTTATTCTGTGGGGTAAAATATGGCAAAAAATAACGATAGACTTTCTTGGTAAAACGATAAGGCACCGCATTAGTGATACTTATGATATCTACATCCATCTGCTTCTTGAGACATAACGTTGAGTGTTGAGGCAGTTAGTGACGCCGCGATACATCAATTTCAAAACTTCGTAACTTCAGTTTTGGAAGAAATTCCTTTTTTATTCTTCAAGCGCAATATCGGGCAACAGATCTTTTTTTGGTTACAATAAAATAAAGATAGACATAGGTAGTCATAAAATTATTTCTAGTAATTCTGTTTTTTGTGTCTACATTCAAAAGTTCATCTTAGGCGTTACAAGGCTTATGAATTAAGCGGACGATACATTTTGTACTAAATTTACGGTAGAAAGAGTGCTGCAATAGGTAAGTGTCTATTCAGCAGAAGCATCTATTCCTACTTCGGTTCACACCGCGAACTAAGCTAACCTAACTAAAGTAACCCGACGATCTTGCTAAGCTATGTAAAATGTTGTGTGTCCGTCAGGATGGCTGCACCAAACGAGATATATAAATCAAACTGCTCATTTACTACCTATTTAGTACCTTTATTGACATATTTTCTACCTTAGCGCTATCGGAAATAATTTGCTTGGAATATTCTAAGCGCCTGCAAAAATGTGATTAGCACTTACACGGAGAAGATAAGCCGTCTTTTTAGAAGATAACTTTTGCAAAGGCATATTTTTTTAAATAACTTTTTAAAGCAGCTTCATAAAATAGTGAAAAAAAAGTATAAAAAAAGTTTAGGTAGAACTTAGATAGTAAATAGTTATATAAAAAAAGTAAGTTATGTACTGCTAGAACCATGAAAAACATCATCAGATGACCGCAGAATGGCTGGCTGCTTTATTTCTTTAATATTTCCGTTAGCGTTAAGGTAATGTACTAAATAGTAGAAAATAGGTAGTAAATAATGAGCAGTTTAATTTTTTATACCTCGTTAGGTCCAGCCACCCTTTTTTTTGACGGGGGGAAATCTTTATGGATACCCCTGAGCCCAGGGAGACTCAGGGGTTATGTTGGGACTCTCCCTTCAGACTGGAGGGCATACCCCACTAAAACCCCCCCGGGTTTCCCTTTCGCCGGTTGAGTCGGCGCCGTGGGATCGGTGAACATTCACCACGACGATGTCCAGCCACCCTGACAGACACAATACCACCCTTCTCTCTCTCACATATCCATGTGTGTATCACGTCATTCTTAGCTTAGCTACAAAATTGGTTGCATGCAACTACGTGAGCAAAGTTAGCTTAGCTTCGGTCACGGTGTAGCCTACGCATAAGAATGATATAGGCTATGGGGTGGATCTGACGAGTTACCATGACTGAAGCTATTCTTTTTACAGGCGAATGTGGTGGTTGAGACGGCTAATAATGAACACTGTTTGAATATTAAGGAGAGGGTTCGCGATGTATACCCAGTAGCAAAATTTGTCTTTGCCGACTTTGAGGATAGTAAGCACAGGATCCCTGGTCGATAAAATTTTTAATTGATCTTAATTTTCTATCTAACTTGTCAAAAAAATCTCTTTGTATGAGGTTGAAAATCTATGTAAATTGTGTATTCCAATTTAAAAAACTGAAACAAGTTTTGTGATTTTTTTAATTACTTATACATTAGTTTATGCTACTGGGTCATCTCCCTTGGTTGCGCGGGTGTAGATGACCTGTCTGTGGTGCTGTACTACCTGCTTAATTAATCCTGGAACAAAATAATATTATTTATAAACAGACAACACATAGCCAATCATTATTTAGCATGATAGGGATCAGACTCAATATATCAGTTGCTACTGTCATGGATTGTCCAGAGAAAATGATCCATCATAAAAAGTAGGCTACAAAATTTTTCATAGATGCTGAACCTCGTTTAGTTTTCCTGTTATTACAAAAAAATTGAAGATATTTTATAAGTGAAGTTAAACTACAACTTAAATTAAAAAAGAACTATACTTTGTATTAGCCATACCTACTTTACATTTACCTAAAGTTTTTATCAACAAAATGAGGAGTTCTCAACTCAACTGTTTTTTTTTGCATGTACCTTCCACGATCACTCCAACATTTGTGAACCGATTTCGATGAGGATCAAGTCTATAAATCTTAGGTGCAAATGAGTTTGTTACTTTTTCCCTGAGCTCAATGAGTGCTCTCCTCGCAAGGGATCCTCAAACCTTCAGCCTCTCAGATACGACAGCGGGAGTAATGAGCTTGTACTGGGGCACTTCTTTGTACAGCTTCTCGTATGTCGGCTTGTCAAACAAAACGTGGTTGTTCAACTTGTCACGGACTTTGCCTTTGGACCACTTCTGCAA